CACTTAAGAGTTTAATAATTGCAACTGGGCCGAAGCCCAGCAGCGCACAGTGAGCCAGGACTCACTTTTACTGGACAAAACTAATAACTTGTCATGTAAAAAAGATTTAAGGACTATTTTTGCACTGTTTACTAATATGAGAAATGTGGTTTTAAAGGTGACGTTAGTTTTAGTTTTGGGGTGTTATGGATACCTAAACTGCTTTGCAACCACATATTTTATAAACCATAATAAATATAAACTGGGCAAAATAAATAATTTTTTCGAATTACTCAAATCTTATCACAGAAGACCGTGAAAGAGTATTTAACCAAGAAGTTCACGCCTCCTTCCTTACCAATGTCATTTATTGAACTAGAGCCGTGGTCGAACCTCGAACTTCTTGGCTCTGAGCAAGAACTCTAACCATGGCACCACGGCTGCACATAAATCTACTACATAATCCATATAAAAAAAAACCTAATGCTTAAACTTCTTTATGTATATAACAATAACCAAAAGTTATTATTTGCAGTTAAGTTTATGTCATTTACAACTGCATCCAAAATGATTATTAGAGACTATGCGGACATCCACGGATAGTAAATCAAAATTATATTGATAATACACATATTGAAAAATGTATTTCAAGTCTCAAATTACAGGACCACTTTAAACCACAAAATTATTTGACTATATAAGTAAAATTTTAAATGAAAAAAGTACTTCAAATACGTCGTTATTTGAAATCAATTTATTCGTTTTAACTTTGGTACAAAATATTGTTGCAGTAACTCATTTAAAATACTTGATATTATTTTGCAATAAAAAGATTTTAAAACTAGCAACAACTTTATGTTTATAAGTTATACAAAAAAAGTTTTTAAATTAAGTAAAAAAAAAATTCGAAAAAAAAAAATGCTTTTTATTCTACATAAAAACATACGTCATGATAGTTATAAAAAACATACGTCATGATAATTATAAAAAACATACGGCGTGATAATCGCAAAAAAATATATACATTTTTTAAAAACTGAATCTTTAAGTTATAAAATGATGTAATTTTTAAGAATGTATTTTTTTACTTTTGTCCACTACCTGGCACACTGTGCAAGGTTTATCTCCATTAAACGTCCGGAGTAAATGGATCACTTTGAAATTTCCGGACGAAGAAAGAGACTACGCGAATAAGCCAAGAACCTCTATCCGACTGTCACGTTTGGTCTACCTGCTTTCAAACAGCATTGCAACCATCCAAAAGGCCAAAGTTAGAAGCCGAGATAAGAATAAATACTACACATATACTATAAAACTATGTCACCTTATTGCGAATCGAAACTTTATTTTTCGTGACCAAGTAACCAATTGAAACGAAACTATTTTACATTTAAAAATAAAATAATAATAGTAACAATAGCAGTATGACAATGATAAACAAACATATATTTTTTTATCAAGTTTATTCAATTAAAAATAAAAGTATGTCGTCTTGTTACCGAATGTAACCTATTTGAGACTTGACGTTACATAAAAATAATATAGGGGCTAGAGTTTATTGAAAATAAAGAAGAATGTCGGTTATCAAGACAGCATTAGTACTAAAATTATAAAGAAAAGATTCAATAATATTATTAATTGTATATATATAATTAATATATTTATTAATAATATTGATTAATTGTTTGAAAAGAACTGAAGTAAACCAGCAGATGTAGAAAAACCATGTATAATGCTTTAAAAATTATTTTAATAAAAATTATTTGTTACGAGTTTGAACACCGCTATTATGGCAGTATTATCATGAGCCTGTCCTCAGTAATTTCTCAAATCTAAACCATCATTTTCTAATTTCTTTAAAATTCATTTTTTTCTTTAGTTTCTACATAGTCAATTAACGATTCAACAGCATTAACTTCTCTGCAATCAATAACTATATATCTAATCATTTGATAAGCTTGATCATTTTGGAAAATATCTGGAATTTAATATTATTTAAAATTATTTAGCTTTTTTTTTTAATCTATAATTGTTTTTCTCACTGCGTCTCCCAATAACTCTATGAATTCATTCCGAATCTTATGCGATAAATTGGAGATTTCCCATCTTAATTTTTATTACATGCTCACGTAACACTGGGTTGTATTTAGCCAGAAAGTAAACAAGCAGATTTTTTCTATTTTCTTTGAATTTCTTTCTGATAATCACTAAACATTACCTTTAAACATCTTTTATTTTGCTAAGAATATAATTATATTAAGTATTCTCGTATAAATTTTCTTCCATTTTTTAGTTGGCATCAAAATTTGTTTGTCGTAGTTTATCAAAGGTTGCGCCATGTCCACGTCCTATTTCTAATTCTTTACATAGGGAATGTGCAGTTGGCTTATCTCATATTGATCTCTTTTTTGTGGATTAGGTTTCCACTATTTGTTGAAACTGTTTTCTATGTTAAAACTCGATTGACAAACTTAATTGGCAAACTTGATTGGCAAAGGGCGTCAGTTTGCAGTAAAAATAATTTATACTTTTTTTCGATTTTGAATACATCCACGATCGTAACAGTTTTTCACTGTCAGGCAAAATTAAAATAAAAAAAAACGGTCGGTATTAAGCTTTCTTGTTTCATCTTTGACTTTGATTGTTTGACCAGGACGTTTTACTTCACTGAAATCAACGTCTAAATTTTGAATTACAGACGAACCGTACTCTTGTATTATCGCCAATCTTGTTAGACCATAATAATTTGTGCAGCTAACTCATCATCAGAGCTTAACAAACTTTTTACTATTTTGCTGGTATATGTGGCAGGTATTTCCCTTTCAATAAAATGGGAAGAAATGTTTTTCCTGAAAAGATTAGTTATTATTAGTAACTATATGTTGATATATACACATACACACACGCGCACCTTATCCCCCGCCCCACTACCGTCCTCTACATATATATATATATATATATATATATATATATATATATATATATATATATATATATATATATATATATATATATATATATATATATATATATATATATATATATATATATATATATATATATATATATATATATATATATATATATATATATGTATATATGTATATATATATATATATATATATATATATATATATATATATATATATATATATATATAACTTTGTTGCACACAAAATATAAAATTAGATCAACTTGGCCTAAAAACTCTATTATATTTATATAATATTTTTATTTATTAGTTTTATTATTATTATTCATATATTTAAAATCTATTTAAACTTAGAAAGTTGAAAGTTTGGTATTAATTTTTTTTGTGTCGAGAATTCTTTTTATTTAGTCAACTATAGTCAAATCTACATTATATTGTCAAACTATAGTCATTTCAAACTTCACTGGGTTGATACCCTAACCACTGAATTAGGAAATTCATCGAGTTAGAGATTTCCTAGTCTATTTAAAGTACTCGCAAATAAAAAAAAACTATAGATTAAAAGTTATAATCAAATAAAAATTAATTAAAAAGATTATCTAGTGCATAAATAACGATCAGAAAAACAATAAATAACGATTAGAAGAACAATAAATAGTTCAATTAAAATTCAAATTTAACCTCCAAGTAAGTTAATATTAAAAATAAATTTTATTCTAAAATTTATACTTTAACATTATATAATGATACTTATTTAACAAATCGTTCCTGATGATTTGTTAAATAAGTATCATATATATTAGTATAACTAGTTCTACTTTTAAAGCTTAAAGTAAAACATTAAATTCCTTAAATAAACTCTTTTCAAATACCTGTAGAAATGAAGTTTTTTTGAGTGAACGATTTAAAGTGTTGCATCTCTCTTTCTCTCTCTCTTTTTATATATATATATATATATATATATATATATATATATATATATATATATATATATATATATATATATATATATATATATATATATATATATATCGACAGAATATCTTATACGTTATTTAAGTAAATATGTACATTTTTTACTTGCTTTTTTAAATCGTTTAATTGTAAGTTTAACTGCAGGATTAGGCTTTATGTAATACTGGAAACCAGACTAAAGTTGTGTGTATTTAATATCTGGAAAAAACTTACTATACGATATATATATATTATATTACGATGTATGTAATACTCGGAAGCAACTATATTACGATGTATGTAATGCTTAAAACAATACATTGCGTTAATATAAATAATGTTTTTTCATTTTTATTTTTTTAATAAACGTCAATATAAAGTTTTTATTATTGAAGCATGAAAAATAAAATTTTGTATATAAAAAAAAAATAAGAAACTGCACAGGATGTATTTTAATTTCACAGAACGTATTATAACTTGCTTTCCAACAATTTTTAACTATGATTAAAATGATTAGTTTGCATTTTAATGAAACAAAAGAAATTTAATTGTTTTTGTTATTTAAAAATATTTTAAAAATGTTTTCTGCGAGTCAAACAGATCGCAAGGGCTGTTATCATAAGGTAGCTAATCGTGTTTGCTTAATATTTAAACATAATCTTTGTTTCCAATTGTGAAGTACAAATTTACAGATAATTACATGTCAACTAAAGTTAATGCGGGTAATCACTCATCTTTAGGACGTTTATGTGAAACTGCAACTTGAAACGCCTGATATTAACTCTAATATGCTAGGAAAAGATTCTGAAGTTAATATTTACAAATCACCCAAATGATACAATAGGAAGTTTGTTTCCTCTGTAAATGAATTGTTTTAAAATCTAAATTAAACAAATCTTTGTTTCAAAAAAGTTTCACCATCGATTATCAAAAGCACATTCCGCTGACGTAAAAATATGTCTCAATTGTTTTTAAGTAAACATTTTTAAAATTAAATAAGCTTAAATACTTGATTTGCTACGTCTCTTCAACGATTTTTATGTAAATATAAGTTTAGGTACAAATGGAATATGCAAATGACAGACTGATTTAAAAAAGAGATTAAAATATTTCTAACATAAAATGAATTCATCAAAATATAATGCAAACACAAATGACTACTTTGAACATGTCGTCATAATAATCAAGCAATAATCTAAATATACACAGCAAGACAAACAAATGACAAATTGTTCACTATAGTTCAAACCACAACATTCGACAAAAAGATATTAATGTTGTACACGTGAATACATAAAAAGTTTAGTTATTTTTTTTAAATGAAAGTTGTAAAAATATTTAAAACATGAATGAAACAGACCATTTTAATGAAGAAGTATCTAGTCAGAACGAAAATGTTGGCATTTTTTGCGATAATAGCAGCGCTACTGAAGAGATGAGTGTAGTCTCAGAAAGTGTATCAATTAATACATTAAGTTCATACAATTCTGTTGCAAGTACTTCTCCTTCAGTTGATGATAAACGAAAAAGTGTTCACCTTTGGTTAAATGCAAACCCTCCATCTAATAGTTGTGTTCAAAACACATTTGTCGTTCAAAAAGGAGAAGTGGAAACTTTCCAGGCTGAAGAAATTCCTGGTAATGATTTGTATATATGTGAAGAATCTATTTCAGCAAAACTAAACAGCGCCGATGAAGAACAAGACTTAATGCGTGGCTTAGATATTGATCCTCATTACGCGAGAATAAAATCAGAGGTCATGAGAGAGATCGAAACAAAAGACGATCACAAAATGTATAAAACAAAAGATTTAATACATTATTGGAAACTTCAAGTGGAAAACGATAAAGTATTTAACAAAGATGATGCAAAAAATATTGATAAGGTTGACAATGATAATGAAAACAATGCAAAAAAAAGACGAGACTTTAAAAAAAAAAAACCGACTACCGTTAGAAAATCGCTGAAACTGCGAAATAATTCTGAAGAAGAAAATAAAGACTTTAAAAGAAAAAAAAGTTTTTTTAAACATTTGAATCCGAAGGGACAATTAGAACGCAAAAACTCATGGGGAACCATTAAAGAGGCCCTCTCAGGGATAACTAGCCCAATTATGAAGCGAAAAGCTCCATTCGAAGAAAGCTTTAATGGCCTCGAAACTGGAATTTCTTTGATTGAGAAAAATGGTTTGAATTGTTTAAAGGTATTACATTATTATTCGATATATTTGCTTTAACGTAACGTTTTTAACTACCTTTGAAATTTCAATAATGCAAAGTTAATATTGGGGATTTACTGAATAATAAGTTCATAATTATTCAGAATAAAACAAATAAAAATATAAAGTTTTATTTTAATTTTTCAATGCAATCAATGGTTTGAATAAATTTTCATTTTCTTTTATAATAATTCAATAAATAATTCAAATAAATTTTCATTTTCTTTTGTAATAAAATTTAATACAGCAGCACGTTATTTTCCGCTGCTTTACTGTTGAGGAATGCCAATGACGGTAAAATATTTTCTATTGATGAAGAACAATCTTTTGTATATAACGGATTGGTTATCAGATCACTCCTTTATTATACAACCACAATCACAACTTTATTATACATTAATTGTCAATTGAACAGATTAAAACTGTTACAGACTTTACTCCGTTGAAATTTTTTCTCATTAGATGAAAGTTAAAAAAAAAAAAGTAATCTGTTTCATTAACAGAATGTGCATGTATGTATGTATGTATGTGTGTATGTATGTATGTATGTATGTATGTATGTATGTATGTATGTATGTATGTATGTATGTATGTATGTATGTATGTATGTATGTATGTATGTATGTATGTATGTATGTATGTATGTATGTATGTATGTATGTATGTATGTATGTATGTATGTATGTATGTAAGTATGTAAGTATGTATGTATGTATGTATGTATTAGATGCCGGCGTTGAACATAAAAGCGGTAATGGCAAAGAACGGTATTAGAAACTTTTGTTATTAAATGCTCTTTTGCGGTGCTCTGTGACAAGACCGTTTAGCAACCTAAATCGAAAAAAAGAAATATTTCAGATAGTTCATAATGGTTCTTGAAGTTAATTTTTAAAACGTAACCATTCTGAAATAACTTCAAGAATTTTTTATCATTTTATTAGAAATATTTTTAAGGGTTAATAAAAGTTCATCTAGCTGATTTTTTTTTGATTTTTTTTAATACTAATTTTTTTTAAATCCTAACTTGTATTTTTTAAAATGCATTTTATAGCGTCTACGTAGCATCTACGTAGCTACGTAACATCTTCAAAATAAATTTTGTAGCACCTACCTAATTTTATAATTTTGCATTAAAGTTTTTTTGAAAATGTTGGTAAAATAATAACTTTTAAAAGTTGTTTTATTTTTTGGATGAACTTTATTTTTTATTTAGGCCGTTTAATTAAATACAAAATTTTATAAATAACATTTTAAATTTTAGCAGTTGCCTCTCTAAATTCTACTTGTCATTTAATTCTGAACTTTTTTTACAGATTACTTCTATAATATTTTGCTGTCTCTTAATGAAGCTAATTTAGGACTGGCTTTTATAATATTTTGATTTTAATTATGCAACTTTAAAACTGGGTACTGGGTGAAACGAAGGCTGCTTTTTTTAAAATAATTTTTGCTTCTAGACAAAGTGCACAAGAAAATGGTTATATTGCAAAACTCTATAGTCGCTGACTGCAATTTCTAAACTTAGCTAAAGTATGATCCCTTCTCAAAAAGTCTTCTCTTATACTTACTTATTCTTACTTTCTTAAACGCTTCTGTTTATCTTGCATTTTTCCGAAAACATCAATAGGAAATATTAAAATACTACTTTGGAATTTTGTAGTTTGTTCTATTACTTTATTTAGTTTCCATATTGTAATAAATATTTTCAATTTATTATTTTGGTGTTTGAGTTAAAGGATAACATTCATTAAGAGGTTTTGAACTTTATTTAACAATCTATGATTGTTTGAAAATTTTATGTTTGGAAATTTCTACCATATTGAAACTTATTATGACCAAGTAAAATTTAATTTAGTTAATTAATTTTTTTTAAATCTAAAATCTTTCAACTTATATAAATTCTTAAGTTATGCAAAAAAATTTTTTAAGAAAAGTAAAAAACATTTTTTTAACTTATTTGTTCGTCACACGCAAATTTTCTTAAGAAATCCTTATTTATCATCATTTTCCCTATTTTATCCGAATTTATTAGGGGGTTTAAACTTACTCAAGCTTGCTGTTTGCTTTAAAGTAAAGTTAAAGAAAATTTATGCTATCTGAAATATATATTTTTTTAAATTATAAAAGTTTGGAGCTTTTGACATTAAAACTTCTAGACCCAAATATTAAAAAGTCCTGGAATTGCACCTGCTATTCTTTCTAGTTCATTAAATGTATAAAAAACACTGTTTTAGTTTAAATTTTTCTAGTTTTTAGAGAGATTAAATGTAGTTTATATTTATTTCAATTTTTAATTGCCCAGATAATATTGTGCCAAAATTCTTTGTTTTGTAAACAGAAATTACTTTATTTACTAGAATAAAACAGTTGATATAATATTATAAATAAAACATTTATATATAAAAAGATTGATGTGTTCAATCAAACAAATAATTTGAAGATTTTTGAATGAAAAATTTGCCCAATACCCCCAACACTATTATACATAAATAAATGCTATTTTAACATTTTTTTCTAAACAAATGCAAACCTAATTGTTTTATTTATTGAAAGTATTTAAAATTACTAAAACTTGATAGGTTACAACTATAAAAGTTAAACTTAAAAGAAAAAGTATTATATATATATATATAAAATATTGCTAAATATTACAACCATAGGACAATTTTTAAAGTTAAAGGAATAAAAAAATTTTGTCACAGCGGTTTCGGGACAACCCCTTGACAACAGCTTAAAAAAAAAAGAGTCATCTCCTCAACTATAGTGACCCCCCGCGGCATTATAAAGGTAAAAAAAAATACCAACAATTATTATCAATAATTGTTTAAATGATTTAAATATATAAATTTAAAGTATTTAAAACTAAAATCTTTTTATAAAAATCTTGAAATAGTATATACAGTAAAAAAAACACCAATAAATAGTAGCAATAACGGAATAAATTATTTATAGATAACATCAGATAATTATTTATAACATAACATCAGTAAAGAAGGAGGCGTAAAATCCCTTTCAAATGCTCTTCCGCGGTGCTCTGTGATAAAACTTTAACGACATCTTGGGGCACCTAAAATAAAATAATAATAATAAAATAATAACAGTCAAACTTTGTGTTGTTCTCACATCACAATATTATTGTATTAGGAAAACATCACAATGTTTTTTTATTAGGAAAGCATCAGATTCCGGTAGAGGTGTAATGGTTGAGTGGTCGCTTCATAAACGAAAGGTCCCGTTTTGATGCACTTCACGTCCCTGGTTGTATAACGCTCAACTTGTTTTTCCGCGCAGCGGTCTTTTTTTTCAAGTTCGTGTTTTGGATTTAAAGAGTTGAGAATCAATCAATCAATATATTTTGAATTACATGATTTTACAATTCAAGGATGTTTACAAATAGTATAATTACTAATAATGCGTAAACACCTAATAATAATGATGCTAATAATAAATAGGAGCAACTCTAAAAATCAAAACGCTAACAATAATAATAACATTATTAATAACTATAGTAATAAAAATGAAATTAATAACAACAAAAATAATGGTATTATTAAAAATAATGATATTAATAAAAATAATGCTTTTAATAAAAATAATTGCATTATTAAAAAATAATGATATTAATAAAAATAAAGGTAATAATAATAATAATAACAATGATAACTACAACAATGGTATAATTAAATAAATCTATACTTATTCACGATCACATACAAAGATAATACATACACAGATACACACAAACATACAAACATACATAGATACATACCTACATACCTACATACCTACATACCTACATACCTACATACATACATACATACATACATACATACATACATACATACATACATACATACATACATACATACATACATACATACATACATACATACATACATATATGTCATATATACACATATATGTCATACATACACATACGCTTATATATATACACATACATCCATACACATATATACACATACACACACATACAAACATATATATATATATATATATATATATATATATATATATATATATATATATATAATATATTGATATATATATATACACACACATATATATATATATATATATATATATATATATATATATATATATATATATATATATATATTAGGGCTGTTCAGTATGCTAATTTGTTTTCAGAACATAGCTAATTGAAGTTTTTCCCATTCAACTATCTTATTGTGGTTCAAAAATATTTTTTACTAAATTTTATTATTTGCCCTAAAGGTCCCTCAAAGCCACTAAACATTTGACAGGTCCCTAATATTATCAAAAAAAAATATTTAAAAATATGTCAACTTGGTACTCAAAAGAAGCAAAATTTTATAAAAATTTTAAAAATTAGATTCATTTTTTATAAAAAACAACTTAAAAAAACTTATTGTTAAAAATCTTGTGAATATTACCTTTTTTTCATTTTTCGTTTAAAAACCATAGTTTTTATTCAAAAAAACCTAATATTGTTATTTTTATAAAAAATACTTTTTGTTTTTGAAATTTTTTAATGATTTTGCTTTTTTTGAGTACCAAGTTGACATATTTTTAAATAATTTTTTTTTTCAATAATATTAGGGACCTGTCAAATGTTTAGGGGCTTTGAGGGACCTTCAGGGCAAATAATAAAATTTAGTAAAAAATATTTTTGAACCACAATATGATAGTTGAATGGGAAAAACTTCAATTAGCTTTGTTCTGAAAAATAAATTAGCATACTGAACATCCCTAATATATATATATATATATATATATATATATATATATATATATATATATATATATATATATATATATATATATATATATATATATATATATATATATATATATATATATATATATATATATATATATACATATATCATGGGCGACTTCAATTTCCCATTAATCAACTTGTCAAATGGCTGTGTTGATGCAATTTTAAATGAGGATTGAATTAAAAATAAGTTTACAGATATTTTAAATGATAATTTTCTTTATCAGCATATTAACATACCAACTTTCCACCTTTCAGATGAATCACCTTAGATTTAATCTTTACAAATCAGTCAGCAAGTGTTAATGAAATAGGTTCAAAATTTGTTTTGGGAATCATAACCAGAGGCTATCTAATAATATGTTTCAGTTTCATCTTGTCTGATAAAACAATTTGTGACAATAAAAGTAAGCAAAAATTCATGTTTGCTTATTCTAATTTTGAATTAATATCTGATCTAATTTCAAATGTTGGCTGGATACAATGTTTTAGTAGCAAAAATGTAGAAGAAATGTTTGATGAACTGATTTTTTATACTGAGGTAGCATGTAATCATTTCACTCTAATTAAAAAGACAAACTCTTTAAAAATTAAACCAGCCTGGGTTAACGTTAGGTTAAAGTTTCTTATTAGAAGCAAACAAAATTTAAGATATAAAAACTGCTCATGTAAATGGAAAGATCCTGTTTTGAAATCTAAATACAAAATGATTTGCAAAAATGTAGCAGAAGAGATTAAAAAAGTGAGACAAAACTTTGAGCTTAATCTGGTAAAAAGAGCCATCAAGAATCCAAAGCTTCTCTACAGCTACATGAACAATCAACAAGCAGTCAAAGATACTATAAAAGTATTACAGGGAGCAAATGGTAAAACCACTCAAAATTCAAAAGATATTGCTGATATCTTAAACAAAAATTTTCAAGTTTCATTTGTGAAAAAAGATAATGGTCTACTGCTTTCTTTTGATTTAAGAACTATTGAAACATTCATTATGACAAATGAAGATTTTTTCACTCCTCTGTAAAAAAAAGCAAAAAAACCTTAACAGCAAACTACCGACCGGTATTACTCACCTCAATTGCATGTAAAATAATGGAAGGTATAATTAGATGTAAACTTGAAACTTTTCTACATAAGTTCAAACTAATAGTCAAGCAACAGCACGGTTTTGTTAAAAATAAATCATGCTTAACGAATCTACTTGAAACACTTGATTTTGTTTCAACTGGCTTAGAGAATGGTAAACTTGTTGATGTTATTTTTTTTTAATTTCGTTAGGGCATTTTCAACAGTTCCCCATTAAAGATTGTTGCTTAAACTTACAGCTTATGGAATATCTCGTCTGACAATTCAATGGATTAAAGCATTTTTAAAAGAAAAAAGAGTTGGGATAGGCGAAAATGTATCCTCTTGGGCAGAAATTACCAGTGGTGTGCCACAAGGGTCAGTAATTCGACCACTATTGTTTGTACTATTTATAAACGATGTGCCTGAAACTATAAAAATCCAACCAAGCTGTATGCAGATGACACAAAAATTTTGAATGAAATGCTTTCCAGTGCATCAACTCTTTCTTTGCAACCAGATCTTGATTTAGCTTTTTAGTGGACTCTAGACTGGCTTGTGAAATTTAATATTTCGAAATGTACGATCATGCACTTTGGTCGGAATAGCAAGAAATCGCCCCTTTATATAATGAAAATTAATATAAAGGGGTGATTTAATCACATTACTTAAAAAAATTAGTCATGAGAATCGTCTAAACTTGACCTTGAGGAGACAACGGGGAGATTCAACTTTTTAAATTCTTCAACGGTTTTAACAATTTAGAAACAATCAAAAAAATTAGAATTCAACAAACCCAGTAAGGACAGGACGTTTTTAAAACGTTTAAAAAACTTAAAAAAACGAATATGAACGTTTATTAAACGTTTTAAAAACGATCTGTGGTTACTGGGAACTCAAACGAGAGGTCACAGCTTTAAATATGTCAAATAAATCACTAAGCAAGCATGTCGTGAAAACTTTTTATTTAATAGATCGGCCAATTTATGGAATAGCTTGCCAAGCAAGTTGGTTTATGCACAATCAGTTAACAGTTTTAAAGCAGGTCTTGATTGCTGGATGAGCAGCAATTAATTTAGTAGCCTTCTAGGTTTTAAGGAGGTAATTAACAGTAAAAATTTTTTTATTCAGCTTAAAAAAAGTTTCAGCTGTTTTTCAACTTTATTGCATCAAAATATAAATGGTATGAAAACCAAATAGTTGACAAATAAGTCAAAACGCAAAAAATTTAGTCTTATAGGAATAACTTTTAAAAAATCAAAAGCTCTAAATAGATCTTTATTTGTTTCTGCAAATTTTTATTCTTAAAAAGAATTAGTTTAGACCTGCAAAAAATTTCAGAGGATCCTCTTTGAGTACGAAAAATTACAAATTGCTCTTTATTAAGATTAAAACCTTTAATGAAGGATTTCCAAGTTTTTTCAAGTCTCAACATTTTAAGAGATAGCAAACATACTTTAATACAATAGTGTATAATAGTGATTTGTTATTGTGATAGCCTTTGTTGCTGAAGTTGTTTTTTCTGCAGCTATAGATTTTTGTCTAAACTTAAAGCGTAAACGATCAAAACAAAATTAAAACTCGGTTATAAACCAAAAAATTACTTTATATCAAAGTTTTAAAAATAAAAAAATTATTTTAAAAGCGAAATTTTTTTTTAACAAAGTTTATTTTTCTCGACCGTTTTTTAAAAGGTTTGTGATAAGGCTGAAAGGATCTATGTACATATGGTTTGATATTGCTAATACATTATATCTTGTACATAGCAAAAATTGTTTCCCTCTGTAGATAATTGGAAGATTTTGTCAGAAATAATAATTTGTCTCGAGGTTTGCGTAAAAATCTATACTCTAGCAATTCCATGTTACGCGTTAATGCAAAAGTTTGTGGTATTCGCATTATGAAAATAAAAGTTTGTGGTATTTGCATTATGAAAATAAAAGTAAAAAACAATTAAAAAAACTTTGTTGTAATATTGCAATAACCATAAAAACTTTTTTTTATATTTTTACGCGCTCAATATACGCGCATCATAACGTGACATCGATTTGTCACGCCGTGAAGCTCTAAATGTTACAATAACTCATAAAATCGAAAGTAAAAAAATTAACTTTTTTAAATTTATACCAAAGAGCATATTTATTTTTACCAAAATAATAAAAATTAAATTTTTTATACACATAGATATTATAAAACTGCATTTTGTCCATAAAAGCAAAACAACGAAATATGTATAATTGCTGACTATTGTAGTATTCAAACAATATCTAATAAATTGAATGATTTGCAAAAGTGTTTCAGATTGCAAAGTTTTTTAAAACAATTTATTGATTCAGATCATTTAAAAATTCATCAAACTTCATAAACTTCAAACAAAATTCATTGTGTTAGAACTTTACCAAATAACGTAGCCCAATTTTTTTTCAGAAATTTTAGGCTTCATGATTTGGTAATGTTCAAAACAATACATGAACCTCTTTATCAGACAGTACACTGAAAAAAAGTATCTCCTGTTAAAGTTAATTTACAAAAAACATAATTCAAGTTAACAGTACTTCAAAAATAAACTAAAATACTTTTAATTCTTAAGGGATAATCAAAAGCGTACACAAAATATTACAACACTAAAATAGTGAATGAAAATGAACAAATTACATAATTTTCATACTTATTTAAAGCTCATATAAATTCTATTTTGTCAACCATTATCCAGAGTGCATTTTTTCATATCTCTTGCGGTAGAAAATCACATTGTTTAGAAATTTGTAAGTAAAATGCAATACATTCCCTAATAAAACAGACGTGTAGTCTCATCTATTTTTTTTTTTAAAAAAGAAAACATGTTTACCAACCTCGTTCGAAACGATTTAAATCTATTTACCTGGCTAAACGTTGCAACAATAACGTGGAAGACGATAGCAGTTGTTCGAATTTCGGAATATCAAATAGTTTTTTTTTGTTTGATGTTCTACCTTACAGAAATAGTTTTTGACATTTTGTTTGATGCTCTACCTGACAGAAATAGTTTTTGACATTTTGTTTGATGTTCTACCTGATAAAAATAGTTTTTGACATTTTGTTTGATGCTCTACCTGATAGAGCTATCCAGCTTCAATTACACACAAATAATTGTCGACCATTTGCACTATTTGTTTTATTTGTATTCTTTACCTGTATTATTATTAGTGGGAGATAAAGATACATTAAGTGGAAAAAGAATAAATAATAAATTCATATGATTTGGTAAAGTTTTCATTAAAATTAACCCACATTATCAGAGTCGTCTTCGGGACAGCCCTGCACGTTATCTTCAATCTTATGATCACAATAACGTAATAATAAAACTTTAGTACAAGCTACGAACAAAAAAATATTTAAATTATGTAAAAAGTTGTAAATACGCAATAATTAGTAATAATTATTATATAACATACTAGTAATAACTAAGAATGTTCAATTTTGACCTAAATGATAAGTGAGTAAAAAAAAATAGGAAGAGCAACGGTTGTTAAAAATGTAAAAATTAATTTTCAAAAAATAGCATTTGCTCAAAATCACTTATCTTTAATAATACTTTTTTCTCCTGTAATTAACAAAAGATTTTTTTTAATTAATAGTAGGTTTATAACACTAACTAATAAGGGCTAATACTTTTTTCCTATTTAATACAAAAAAATAATGCCACGTTTTATAAAACAAATAGCAACATTTTAAATCGGTAACCTGGTAGTTGTAAAAAACAAAACCTTTATACCCGAATAGACTTTAGTTGAATCAGACATGAACAACAGTTTAGCAAATAGACATGACCAACAGTTTATAATGGTAATAACTAAATTAAATAGAATAAGAGAGCATGGTTATTTACAGATTATTTATAATTGTCTAACTGATATAATAATTATATATTAATTTTATAAAGTTTGTAAACCTTATACTTTTACCGGTGCAATTTGTTTTTACCAGAGTCTTTTTAAAATTTCTTTATGTTTAGTATAAAGTTAGCGAAGTACAAGATAAATTTCCAAACGATAAACTCGATCTTGATCTGCCTTTAGAAGAACATGATCCAGTAAGTTATTATTTTTAGAAAAATATAATCTTGTTTTTGTAAAAGAATTTGTTATCAGTAATATGTAAAGAGAGATATTTATAATGCGCAAGTAGTATTGTCAAGTAGAGTGGGTATTAGTTGGATAAAAGTTGCGCAATATTTGGGTAAGAAACTAATAATATGAGGTATTGGTATTTTGAGAAAAAATATTTATCAAACTGTTTAAACTGGTTTAGAAAGCATCACGACGTTTTCATAATGTTCTCACTTATTCACCACGCCCTTCTAGAAAACTTAATTCGTAAGTTCGTTTTTTCATTAATTTTGCAACTCTGCGTTGTGTTGTTTATCTCATTTTGTTTTTTTATATTTACAGTTAAGAAATATGTTTTTCATAAACGTGTTTGAAATTGCCAGCGAATATAAGATAACCCTAATCCAGCGGGTGCTAGATGGTTCTTTAAATTGAATTTTTAAAAACGCTAAAAATATTGTTTATAACGCAAGAAATGTATTAAATCACCTAATTTAGAATAATTCATTTATTCCTTAAATTAAATCTTGGTATTTTTAAATATACGCTTACGCTAACAAACTTATTCTGAATCTATGCCCAAATAACAATATCATAAAACAAATCACCATGCAATATCACTTAGAAAAAATGAATAAGATGAACTTATGCCCAGGCAACAATATCATAGAACAAATGACCACGCAATATCATTTAGAAAAAATGAATAAAAAGACGAAAAGTAATATCAGAAAATTGCGATCAGATCGGGTAGTTGCGATCAGATCGGGTCGTGATATTTCTTTATTTCAATCTATTTTTCTTTCACAACTTGTTTAAAACAGTATATTTTTTTTTTTTTCTTATTTGTTTTATCTTTAAAATTTAGTCAGAAGTTTTTGAAAAAAAATTATAATAAAACAAATAAATATATAATTTAAAAATTAGTATTTCATAAAAAAAAAAAAAAAAAAACTTAACTGAATGTTCTTCAATCGTCTGAATGACTGGCCTTTCTGTTTAAGTTTTAGCTTTAACAAAAATAGGTTAGTTGTAAAAGAAAGTCTTATAGTTGTTTACGTCAATATCTAAAAATAACAAAATATTTTGTGGAAACACATTTTATTAAACACTTTAAAATGCTGTTATAGAATTATTTTAATACCAGTACACTTAATACATCCGGAAATTATAGGAAGTATAATATTTAACATATCCTGATTATTTACTAAGTAATGCTTCCTGATTTTTAAAACATGATATATGGTTACATTTTGGCAGAAATCAAACTTAAAAAGTAAGGAATTTAGTTTTAAAAGAATTTATATAAATCTTTATGAAGTCAAACTTCACTTTTTGTTGTTACTGCGCAAAAGATCTGAAATTTTAACTGTTGACCATTCAATCTGTTAAAATTACAAAAGTCTTCAACGAGCTAAAGATTTAATTAAATTTGATGTTTGAAGTGCAGTGATTGATCTTTTAAAATTAGTTTAAAAATCGTTTAATTAGCGCTCCGTTTGTAATCGGCGCTCTGTAAGTATTAGCTTAAACCAATTAACGTTCAAACGTTGACGTTTGAACAGCCTTTCATTCAATTAACTAGAGTTATCTCTCTTAAACGAATTATCTCTCTTAATTGAAATACCAATAAAAATACCTAGCTTATTATGACTCGATAGATTTTTTTTTATCAAATAAATAAAAATACAATTGTTATCTGATGCCGAAAGATTTTCAAATTATGTACGGGAGAAAATATTGGATGTTACAAAGATTTGTTGTTATTTTCCAAAAGTATTTGTCGATTTATTGCATTTAGTTTTGAGTTTGTTTTTTTTTATCAATGGAATTCAAGATATGTACTATTATGAACACTCTTTTATTTTAATCTTAAATTTTTTTTAACGTTGTAAGTTGTCGCGTAATATAAACGTTTATCAACGTGAAACTATTTTGTAGAACTTTTTTAAATTATATGATTGAAAGAGCTTGCGTTGATATGAATAATATGCAATGAACCTAACAAACACTCTTGAAATTCCAGTTCTTGATCTACCAGTAATTAATACATATGCTATTATTGGAACTGGCACATACAACGCAGAAAAAAAAATTCGCCCGTTAAGTCTTTCTAGCGTAAAAGAATTACGCTTTATAGAACAAGAAAAAACTATAGAACATAATAAATCAAACGAGCTAGGCAAAGAAGATGAAAAAAAGAAAGTACGATCACTGCTTCTTGCTTCAACGGCATTAGCAAAATTCAGATCACATGCTAAGCGAAAAGACAGACGTATGGGTAAATCTCCTGGTACTTCCCCGCAAATGAGAAGAAAAAGTGTTACATCATTTTTTAAAGACGATATATTTGAAGGAGATTGGTGCAGAAGGTATTCCTTGTTCTTTTTATCTATTAGTTTGCTAAGTGTAGATTAAATGCTATGAGTTAATAATTTAAAAACTATAACACTTAATGGTACTTGATAACACTAGTTTAAAAAAATATGAGATTTGTAAGCTCACTTTCAATGTTATTAACATTTAAATTGAGCTTAAAATATCTTTTTCGGAAATAGTGGAAATAACTTTTTAAAACTTGACTTATTATATTCCGTGAGATAAAAATAACTTTCTTTGCAATGAAATTTGCAAAAAAAATTTTGTAAAGACGCTTTTTTCTCATGAACATAAATTTTAAGGGTTAAATAAATACATAATAATTGTTAGCCAGGAGCTCAAAAAAAAAAAAAAAAAAGTTGAGTTGGACTAATATTTATGTAAACATTATTATATATTATTACACCATGTGACCTGCTCTGGCGACAGATTTTTGTCGCAAAATTAAAATTAGTAGAACCTAAACTCACTCAAGTTAAACAATTTAGATTTTGACTTTTGACAAAAATTGATGAAAATATAACATTTTTGCCAAAATGTTTAATAATATTTGGTCCAGTTTAATTAAATTAGTTTTGAATATTTAAATGCAGCATGTCATCAGAAAACCTTCCCTTGATGTCCATGTCAAATTTTAAACAGAAAATTTTACAATATACATGCGTTGCTAAACACTTGTTACAGTATTTGTATAACTAAATTTTTGTTTTCTTTTTCTCAATTTTTTAATTTCTTTAATACAGATTTTTTAAAGTCTACATCTTGGTGACCCCTTAAGATAAAACAGTATTTTTACCATTTGGTTTAGAAAATGCTACTGAACAATATAGCACAAGAACACAAGAAATAAAACTTATTTTTGTCAAAAACCTTCTTTTTGCTAGAGCAGGTCATGCATTTTTTAAATTGTCTTTTAAATCAAAATTAAAAATATTTTAGTCGATTTATTTAGTAAGTTGTTTGTTGTCATGAGCTGAGATGGTGGTAAAAGTTTACTAGACTACCAGTTGTATTTTGGTAGCATTGTTAATTTTTCAGGTTAAACTGTGGTAGTACAACAAGTTAACTTAGTGCTGTGGTAGTTAACAAGTTAACAGTTAAATCTACATTTATTGCATGTTAACAGCTAAATGTACATGTGTATATATATATATATATATATATATATATATATATATATATATATATATATATATATATATATATATATATATATATATATATATATATATATATATATATATATATATATATATATATATATATATATATATATATATATACACAACTTTAATTGAGTGTTCAGATAAGCTCTGTGACATCAAACTTAAGTAGCATGCTGTTAGGAGCTTCAGTATATACATTGACTATCTTATAGCTTGCTGCCGCAAAGGAGCGCCACAGCATCTACTGAAGATTTGGGCTGAGACAATCTTTTCTTTTATTTTTTCTTCTTTTTAAAAGAAAAATTACTTTAGGAGACCGGAAAAAAATTAAAAAAATTTTTATTAATTGATAGATTGCCTGCCTAAACCAAAACCCTACAGTCAATGTAGTAGCACTCTTCACATGTTCTACCTTCACATGTTCTAACATTTTTTCTAATTCCCAGGGCTATATATATATATATATATATATATATATATATATATATATATATATATATATATATATATATATATATATATATATATATATATATATATATATATATATATATATATATATATACAATATATATATATATATATATATATATATATATATATATATATATATATATATATATATATATATATATATATATATATATATATATATATACAGCCCTGGGAATTAGAAAAAATAAGGCCTTAAATTGTTAGAGGTTGCCAAAAATATATCAGTGCCATATCCAAACGTAATCCCATTCCGTTCGATCAATATGGGCGCTCAAACTAATTGACAAAAATTGAAAATTCCATAAATCATAAGTTTCTACATTTTTAAATAAATACAAAGAAAAATTTCAGCAGTAATAGAATATATTTTTGTAATTGATAAATTTAAAATTTTAAAAATGAATCTCTTTAAACTTTTTATCCAAAGCGGTTATAAGACAAATTATAGTTATTGCAATAGAAGGAATGAGAAGAGAAGAAGAAAAGAAAGAGAAGAAATGAAGAAAAGAAAAGAGAAGTATAGTGGTAGAATTTAAAACTCATTCATATTTTTATTACATCACTTGCTTTTCAAGTTGAGAAGTTGAACAAGAGAAAAAGAAAAGAAGATAGCATTTAAACTTTGAATGAATGAATTGTGGGGTTAATTTATTTGATGTAACATAACTGCGCTTACTTCTTTTAAATAATGTTTTTTATGATAAAACCTTAAGTAATAGCTTACAATAAAAATGTTACAAAAATAAATATATCAAGTTACATACAACAAAATAAAATAAACCTATTTATTCGTCTATTAAATAATAACTTTACTGAACAATAATTAATTAAATTAATTATTGTTCGGTAAAGTATTCATTTTTAGATGACATAAAGGAGTTATGTAAGATCCATAAACTTAATATGAAAAACCTAATTCAGGATAAGAAGAAAATGAAAATTGAAATTTCAGAAAATATAATCCCTGAATGTACTTATCAAATTCTAGTACAGGCAGTTGAATGTTGGAATTCAAAACAACAGCAAACAATTTTCAAAAATCTCTTGAAGAAAACATTCCAAAGTGATCTATTTAATTCTCTCTTTTTATATCTTAAACTATTTTAATGTATTTTTACCTTGTAAACATATTTACAGAGGGTGTTTTAATAAAATGATAATAATAATATAATACTTTCTTTTTTATATTTATATTATTATTAGAGAATAACATACATTGAATAGTTTCAATATATACTTAATATATAATTAAAAATGGTTTATACTATCAGGGTCTATTCTAGATAAAAAACTTGGGCGGCAGTACCTCCTCGTTTTGGCAGACTTTAGCGGAAAATTGGCATTATTTTGGCGAAAAATACAATATTTGCCGTAAAAATACGTAAAAAAAAAAAAAAGGTCCTCAAATTTTAGCAGCACTTGAATAAAAAAAAAAAACACTGTCAACGCTGTCGAAAGCGGTCTAGAATAGCCCCTGACTATTATAATATTTTTATTAAAATCTTGTCTTTTAAAGAAAATTCTCTTTAAAATTACTAAAACAACTTTTTAAATGATGCCAATGTTTTAACATTTATAAATTAAGAATTTAAACTGAAAACTATTGTAAAAGCAAATAGCTTGCTCAGCTTGTTTTAAAAACTAGCTTGTGCACTCAAGCATTTAGGAGTGGGCAAAAAGGGGGCAAGGCCCTCACAAATGTACCTCTCCCCACCATCACCGCCATCTCCAAAATATTTGAGATCGCAGATCTATAAATATATTTGTTATTAGCACTTCATTTTATCTTTTTCTTGAGCTTCTTTCTAGACAGATTTATAAGAAAGATTAAATTCAGTTTCTTGATTATTAGTCTGGTTTTGTAAAGCTTTACAAATAATTTACTGAGTTGAATAATAAATATTTAGAAACCTTGCTACAGATATTGACTCTAGCCATAAACATTCAAATGATGATCTTAACTACAGTGGAAACAATTCACCAAATAGCTCAACACGTCGACTCTATGTACAAGAGGGACAAGTTAAGCTGACATATGTAAGTTTTTTAACATTTTTATAGTTATATAATATCCTAGAAAGAATTAATTATGTCAGGGTTAATTTTTAATTACTATAGTTTTACATAAAAACATTTAAACAAGTTAAAACTTCAGGGATTAGGTCTTCTTTAGAGTGCATGTCTTTATTTTACTTTGTGTTTTTAAATTATATTACTTTGTTTTATTTTATATTGTATGATTTTATAATTAAATGATTTTTAGGGTAAATCTAATTTCAGTTCTAATCTTGTTGTAATTACTTTTTTTGTTTAACAACACTCTAAAGGATCATCTTTACTTTTTATTTCAATAATTTACAGGAGTTTATTGTTGCATTAAGTAACTGTCTATTAAGACTCAAATCCTTTCAATGAAATTGTTATAAAATTATTTTATCTTA